CCAGCTACTTGGGAGTCTGAGGCAGGAGACTTGCTTGAGCCCAGGAGTTGGAGGTTGCTGTGAGCTGTGATGCCACAGCACTCTACCCAGAGGGACAGCTTGAGGCTCTGTCTCAAAAAAAAAGATTTTTGGTAGTGAACTCAGGCACCAGGGCCTCCAAACTTTATGGATTCGCAGCAACAGGGGTCAGCTAGAAGCAGGGTCTGGTCATACTCAATCAGCATGTCTTTAATCTTCTTGGAAGCCTCATCCACATATTTCTGGTAATAGGCCACCAGGACTTTGGAGATGGACTGAGGGATAGCATAAATTTGGGCCATGTGACCACCACCTTTCACATGGACACAAATGTCTACACCAGCAAACTGCTCCTTGCCCAGAAGCAGAACAGGCACCAGTAGCTTGTACTGCAGTGTGCACAGCTCAATCATCTCCAGGGGCCACCTGTTCACTTTGATGAGGCCAATACCCCATTTGCAGTAGGCCATGGCTATGGCAGTTTTCTTGCATCTGAAGACCTGCACAGACTGCAACAGGCCCTTGGACCACATGGCTACCCGCATAGACTGAAGGTCCTCACTGCCTGGCTCTACCTTTTTCTTTTTAGAGGCAGAGTCTCACTTTGTTGCCTTCAGTAGAGTTCAGTGCCATCATAGCTCACAGCAACCTCCAACGCTTGGGCTTAGGCTATTCTCTTGCTTCAGCCTCCTGAGCATCTGGGACTACAGGTGCCTGCCCAGCTTTTTGTTGTTGTTGTTGTAGTTTGGCCGGGGCTGGGTTTGAACCCTCCACCCTTGGTATATGGGGCCGGCACCCTACTCACTGAGCCACAGGCGCCACCCAAAACTCAGTGCCTGTTAAACAATAATACCCCCCAGGCCCTGGCACTCTTCATTCCACTTGTCAACTCTGTGATTTTTTTTGTTTTTAAGATGGCAGCTCTCTTTGTAGAGTGCTGTGGCATCATACCTCACAGCAACCTCTAACTCTTGGGTTCAAAAGATCCTCTTGCCTCAGTTTTTCTATTTTTAGTAGAGACAGGGTCTCACTTTTGCTCAGGCTGGTCTTGAACTCCTGAGCTCAATCAATCCTTCTGCCTTGGCCTCCCAGAGCACTGGGATTACAAATATGAGCCCCCATACTGAGCCAAGAAGCCCCTTTTCTGTGAATTCTGCCCTGATCTCGCCACCTTGGGCTTTATGTCCACACCCACATGCTTTCTTCCCTGTACCTGCTTGGTGCCTAGACTTGGGGTTGCTTCCCTCCCTCAGTAGGATGGGGGCTCACTGGGGACAGGCATTGTTCTGTTGCTGCTGTGTCCCTGGGACACTAGCCATATAAAGTGGTCATTCAGTAAATATCTGTAGAGGCAATTCCATGTTATCCTGCAGAAAATCCCCTATTCTCTCCAACTCCTTCTTCTCTGCCTCCAGACTCCTGACTTCTCCTTAACCCTCAGAAACTCTCCTCAGAAGCTCTGGTGCATCTTTCCCCACTCCATATCCTCAGTCTTTTTTTTTTTTTTTTGAGACAGAGCCTCAAGCTGTCCCCCTGGGTAGAGTGCCATAGCATCATAGCTCACAGCAATCTCCAACTCCTGGGATCAAGCAAGTCTCCTGCCTCCTCCTCCCAAGTAGCTGGGACTACAGGCATCTGCCACAACACCCACCCAGCTATTTTTTGTTTGCATCCATCATTGTTGTTTGGCGGGCCTGGGCTGGATTCGAGCCCGCCAGCTCAGGTGTATGTGGCTGGTGCCTTAGCCGCTTGAGCCACAGGCGCCGAGCCTATCCTCAGTTTTTATTTCAAGACCAATACCAGCTGTGTTTCTCCCATTTTCCTGCCTCTAGTCCTCTCTTTTGAACTGTTCTCTTTTTGTTCTGCACACATGACATCTGAGAATGGTCCAGAAATCTCCAAGGACAGGGATTGGGGAGTTCCCAGGGGACAAAGGCAATGGTTGCTGCAGCTTGCGGGGAGGTGGGGCACTTTCTGGCCACCCCAGCCATGCTGCTATGCCTATCAAGTTCCAGCATGGCTCATGGTGAAGTCCACAGTTGCAGGCCCACCACTGCTTTGCTGAAAATTTACAATGGCAATAGAGCAGGAGAATCCAGGACAAGCCAGCAGTGTTAAGGCTCTCGGCAAGCCTCCTGCTGTGTCACATGAGCACTCTGAGAACAGTCTGTGAGTTGAGGAACTGAGGGACCTGGAAAGCCTGTATGCAGATCCCCTAGTAGGAGTTGAGCTTTAAATGACTCCACCCTGGCTGTCAACTGTAATCTTTTGAGAGACCAAACTACCCAGGCAAGCCATTCCCAGATTAATGACCCTCAGAAACTTGCCAAATTGATCAATTTGGAGCACTGAGGGGGGCGATGAGCATCAGCATCTCGCGGAAAGGACACAGACTGCTTCTCTGAGGTCCTCCTTAAACATCTGTCCAAAACTAGTGGAAACATATTTTGCTTATAGAAAAACAAAACCAGCTCAGTATCGGTGGCTCAAGTGGCTAAGGAGCCAGCCACATACACCTAAGGTGGCAGGTTTGAATCTAGCCCGGTCCCGCCAAAAACAACAATGACGGCTGCAACCAAAAAAAAAAAATAGCCAGGCGTTGTGGCGGGTGCCTGTGGTCCCAGCTACTTGGGAGGCTGAGGCAGGAGACTCAGGAGGCTTGAGCCCAGGAGTTGGAGGTTGTTGTGAGCTGTGATGCCACAACACTCTACCTAGGGAGATAGCTTGAGGCTCTGTCTCAAAAAAGAAAAGAAAGATCTTTAGTTTAGAAACAAAATTTGCAAAAATTCAGAGTCACAGTTGGCACTGTGGCTCATGCCTGTAACCCCAGCACTCTGGGAGGCCAAGGCAGGAGGATCCCTTGAGCTCAGGAGTTCAAGACCAGCCTAAGCAAGATTGAGACCCCTGTCTCTAAAAATAGAAAAACTACAGAGCGGGGTGGATTGCTTCAGCTCATGAGTTTGAGACCAGCCGGAGCAAAAAGCAAGACCCCCGTCTCAACTAAAAATAGAAAAACTGGCTCGGTGCCTATAGCTCAGCTGGCTAAGGCGCCAGCCACGTACACCTAAGGTGGCGGGTTCGAATCCCCAGCCCGGACCCGCCAAACAACAATGATGGCTGCAACCAAAAAATAGCCAGGCGTTGTGGCGGGTGCCTGTGGTCCCAGCTACTTGGGAGGCGGAGGCAGGAGACTCGCTTGAGCCCAGGAGTTGGAGGTTGCTGTGAGCTGTAATGCCACGGCACTCTGCCCAGGGGGACAGCTTGAGGCTCTGTCTCAAAAAAAAAAAAAAAAAAAAAAAAAAAATAGAAAAACTGAAGCAAGAAGATAGCTTGAGCCCAAGATGTTGTTGTAAGGTGTGACACCATGACATTCTACCCAAGGTGACAGTTTGAGACTCTGTCTCAAAAATAAATAAATAAATAAAATAAACTAGCCAGGTGTAGTGGTGGGTGCCAGATGGTATGGAGGCTGAGGCAAGAGGATTGCCTAAGTCCAAGAGATTGAGGTTGCTTTGAGCTACGATGATGCCACAGCACTCTTAGCCTAAGGACAAAGTAAGACACACTCTCTCTCTCTCTCAAAAAAAAAAAAGTAAAAAGGGGCAGCACTGTGGCTCAGTGAGTAGGGTGCCGGCCCCATATATAGAGGGTGGCGAGTTCAAACCCAGCCCTGGCCAAACTGCAACAAAAAAATAGCCGGGGGTTGTGGCCGGCGCCTGCGGTCCCAGCTACTTGGGAGGCTGAGGCAGGAGAATCACCTAAGCCTAGGATCTGGAGGTTGCTGTGAGCTGTGACTCCACAGCATTCTACCCAGGGCGAAAAAGTAAGACTCTGTCTCTTAAAAAAAAAAAAGTAGAAAAACTGGTATGGTGGCAGGTGCCTGTAGTCCCAGCTACTTAGGAGGCTTAGGAAGGAGGATTACTTGAGCCCAGGAGTTTAAGGTTGCTATGAGCTAGGCTAACCCCAGGGCACTCTAGCCAGGACTACAGAATGAGATTGTGCCTCAAAAAACAAACAAGGCTGGGCTATGTGGCTCACACTTGTAATCTTAGCACTCTGGGAGGCCAAGGCAGGTGAATTGCCTAAGCTCATAGGTTGGAGACCTGCTGAGCCAGCGTGAGACCGCATCTCTACAAAGAGCTGGGCATTGTGGCAGGTGCCTATAATCCCAGCTACTTGAGAGGCTGAGGCAAGAGAATCACTTAAACCCAAGAATTTGAGGTTGCTGTGAACTGTGACACCATAGCACTCTACCAAGGGCAACATAGTAAGACTGTCTCAAAAAAAAAAAAAAAAGAAAGAAAGAAAAGCAAAATTACACTGTGTAGCAGCCTTAGAGCTTCCGAGACCCGGCAATTGAGAAAGGAACTGTGCTTAAAAGGAAAAAAAGGGTTTAGAAGTTTAGTTGATGCCAAATTTGAGAAAAAGCAAATACATAATTATTTGCTCAGATATTAATAAGGAAGCCTAGATTGTAAAACTAAAATCAACTCTGTCTGCAGAAGGTTAAAGTGTTGTAACTAAACAAGACCCCAAGGTCCCCAGAGCAGTTTATTTGGGGCCCCTGAGCTGATGAAGGGAAGAGGCCCAGGGCCTAGGGCTCCTCTGTCTGGGTTTAGGGAGGAGATGAGGATGGCTAGACCTCACAGACTTTGGTGATGGGGCCACAGCTGAGAGTACCCAGGGTCAGGGAGACCACCCAGGGTTCTCAAGTGTGCCTGACCACAAGATTGCCTGTCTGACACACTGAAGGGCAAGGTAGTTAAGGGCAGTCACTGCAACATCCTGGTGTACACAGAGGGCAGAGTGCTGAGGATGGGTGATGAGGAAATACAAATGAATACACAAGTTAGGAAGCACAGGAAGAATGAGAGTGGGGGAAGGACGTGTCCATGAGGAAAGTAAAGTTGGTGTTCTGTCAAGAGTAGGGTCTGGGTGGCACCTGTGGCTCAAAAGGGTAGGGTGCAAGTCCCATATGCCAGAGGTGGTGGGTTCAAACCCAGCCCCAGCCAAAAACTGCAAAAAAAGAGAGTGGGGTCTGCAGGCAGAGGAAGGTCCAAGGAGCCAGATTTCCTAAAGTCATCTTCTTGAGTCCAGAACATGAACCCTTAAATCGCTACATGAGATCCCCACTGCCTGAGGCTATAGAAGCCTCTGCCATATCCCTACAGTGGGACTGAAGTCACAGTTCACCTGGCATCTGTAAGGCCTGGGACACAGCAGCCTTCACAGCACAGTTGTTAAGTACATGAGTCAACAGACTTTCCCCAAACCCTCACTTTGTGTGACATCCTAGTAATACCTCGTCCCTGTTTAATAAGTTGCTTTCACATACTCATTTATATTATTTTATCTTTACAGCAACCCTGTCGGAAACCCAAGGTTTCTAATAGCCTCACTTTTTTCTTTTTAAAAATTTACTGTTGGGGATTCATTGAGGGTACAAGAAATGGCTCGGCACCTGTGGCTCAAGCAGCTAAGGCGCCAGCCACATACACCGAAGGTGGCAGGTTTGAATCCAGCCCAGACCCGCCAAACAACAATG